ATGAGGTTGTTTGTTCGCCACTCATTTGAGACCTGCTGCTCTCGCTGTCAAATTTTTCGATGTCATTGTTACAAAAGGGTTCTCTGCAGAACGAGTCTGTGAGGAGTAAACACAGCAGCCCATTGGTGGTGGCAGGCAAAGATAGGAGTAGTGTGACCTGGAGCTGTGCCTACCTCCATGTTGCAGAAGGAGGGGGAGGGAGACTGGGCCAGCCATCTCTTGGTTCTCCCGTATCCCGCCGAGCTCCACTCGTGGCATCAGTCCCCGCTCTCTTGCTGCAGTGGCACTGATGAACGTCCCTCTGCGTGGCACGCTCAATGCCTCACTCCACCAATCTCGCCCTGCCACATCGCAGAGGCCATGCCATGCATCACCACAAAGCATCTAGCAGCCGCGGAGAGCGCCTGGGGGAGAGTCATTAGCTGTGTGTCGCTCCCTTTCTCCTCTCCCCACATCTCAACGTATTTGTGTGCTTCTTGTCATGAGTTACTGACAAAATCAAGCTTGGAATTGGACGGCTGCTTAGCGAAAACTAAACAAGTCCTCTGATGCATGATTTCTGATACATTTTGATGCTCCATTTTTGTCTTTGAATACTTCAGAATAATTGATGTTGGTAAAGAACAACATGAGAAAACAAAATAAATGAAGTCGGAAAAGGCCTAACAGCACAAAGCCTCTGAGAACGATGGTGATGTAACACTCTGAAATATTCATAAACATCCACAGCACGTTTAAATGGAAATGATTGGCCTTATGCTAATTAAGGAGGGAGAATGCAAGGGGTGAGAGTTAAGAAACCTCACTGCTCTGAATAATTAAAAATGCTATTTATAAGCGAAATGAAAATCCTCAAGACCGGTGCCACGTGCATTTTTTATGTCACTTTAATAGTTACAGAGGTAAATGATTTTGTTTATGATGGTTTCAAATGTGCATGTTTATAAAAACATGTAGAATCTAAGGAAACTGACAATGTAAGAAACAGGCAGAAATGTAACAGTTCGAGCTCTTGATTTTTTTTCCATTGCCTATTTGGCTGCTTTTTGTCCTCTGTGGCTTTAAATATATCAAGCTCTGATTGGTTTGAAGGAAATGACTGAAGTTAAATGTTGCATCTGTTCGGCCAATCAGAATCTTGGGTTTCCTTGGAGACAGTTCAGAATAGAAAAACATGCCATTTTTTTCTGTAGGTGAAATGTTTGGTTACACTGCTACCCTGTGGAAGAATCACGAATATAGTGACTGGCCAGAAGCACGCCCACTGTTTGTTTGGTTTCCTCAGGAGGGCAGGTCGTAGGTTGTGAAGAATGACTGAACACAAATTCGCCATTCATTTTGCCATTGCTTAAGTCTCTGACCGCACCATGGGGTCAGACAGCAAGGCCTGAGGAAGAAGGTTGTCAGTAGGTGTGTGAAGATTAGAGAGACTGTTAATTGTATGCCATTCTCACATTTCTGTTGTTTATTCTGTTTCTTCTGAACTATTACCGGGGCTTGACCTTTTAGATAAATGAACAGAGGGGGATGTGGATGGATGAGGGGAGTAAAAGGTGTCGGGACAAAATCGCACAAAGAGAAAAATGAACAGAGAAGTGGCTGGACCGAGGTCTCCGTTTTTTTCGATGATACATCAACTTACCCTTGACAAACAGTTGTATTTATGACGACGTAGATGTGGCCGTGTGTACGGAAAAGGCTCATGTGTGTTCGTGAATGTGAGTGAGGGTCAAAGGGCTTCTCTGCGAGATGGTCATCTGTCTGATAAACTGGACACATAACATGGCAGGCTACAGATCTCGATGGTGATGTCACGCAGACTGGGTGCGTTTGATGAGCTGAGTCTTATTTATAGAGGCATTAGATTCTCCAAGCTGTTATATCCACCGCTCACATCACAGTTGCGCTTATCGTTGTTCTTTTGACCATTTTTTCCAGTGACAAGTTCAAGACAGCCCTCTGCACAGTTGACTGCATAACGCTGTCTGTTTTATGCATCGAATGGCAGCCTTAGCTCAAAGAGAAGAGATGCCACAGAGATTACTTCGACATTAGCGTGCAGGGAAGGAAGCATCTGCTCGTGTCTAAATGAGTTTTAAATAAGTCTGGTAGCGTGCCCAGAGGCCCACCTGTCGCCTACGCTCCCTTTTAGCTCTTGAGGTTTGAAGTTGATGAAAGCCGGATCGCGAGGGTGAGGATTTGTGTCTCGTTTCCCTGTATGCAGCAAATTGTTCGCCTGCGCTGCCACTCTCATATGCCCTAGAAAACATGCTAAAAATGCGTGGGTGCAGATTAAAGTGCAGCAAGCCCTGCACGAGATTTTGATATATTCTTATTACAGTTGTCATCATATTAGCAGTGCCATCAGGGGCCCGGGACAAATTTTTATGGGTGGGCCGGGCCCCCTCTTCCCTAAACCTGGAGGTTATACCACCTTACGATGACAGGGAAAAATGGTAATTTTAGCAGTGCAAAAGCTCAATGGTACACCTTTGTACATCATCTACACCTAAATATATATATTTATCATTTATAGGAACTGTTATATTTACAAATCTCTCTCTCTCTCTCTCTCTCTCTCTCTCTCTCTCTCTCTCTCGCTCGCGCTCTCTCTCTCTCTGAAAGCCAAATAATGAAGCTTTCCATTGATGTATGGTTTGCTAGGATAGGACAATATTTGTCTGAGATACAACTAGCCTATTTGAAAATCTGGAATCTGAGGGTGCAAAAAAATTAAAATATTGAGAAAATCGCATTTAAAGTTGTCCAAATTAAGTTCTTACACTCTTAAAAATAAAGGTGCTTCACGATGCCATAGAAGAACCTTTTTGTCTAAATGGTTCCATAAAGAACCTTTAACATCTGAAGAACCTTTCTGTTTCACAAAAGGTTCTTTGTGACGAAAGAAGGTTCTTCAGATTATAAAAAGGTAAGAAAGAGATGGTTCTTTAAAGAACCTTTGACTGAATGGTTCTTTGTGGAACCAAAAATGGTTCTTCTATGGCATTGCTTGAAAAACCTTTTGAAGCACCATTATTTTTAAGAGTGTAGAAATGCATATTACATATTAAGTTTTGATATATTTACAGTAGGAAATACAAAAATATATCTTCATGGAACATGATCTTTACTTAATATCCTAATGAAAATCTATCATTTTGACCCATACAATGTATTCTTGGCTACAAATATACCCATGCTACTTATGACTGGTTTTGTGGTCCAGGGTCAAAAAATATATATAATCCTCATCTGAAATATATTTAAAGTCTGGTGTCCCTCAGGGCTCGATTCTTGGTCCGGTACTGTTTTCTCTTTATATGTTTCCTCTAGGATCTATTTTTAAAAAGTATGGGGTCTCTTTTCATCTGTATGCCGACGACACACAAATCTATATCCCTTTGAAGCGCGATAACAAACAGGCTTTAAAGCCTATTTTAGATTGTCTGGACAAACTAAAACTTTGATTTACAAGTAATTTCCTAAACCTCAATGAAAGTAAAACTGAATTTGTTTGGCTCAAATGACCACTGTGTACATGATTTTGAATCTGAACTTCTTAATCCATATAGAACTACATGTGCAAGAAATGTAGGTGTTTGGTTTGATAATAATCTTAAATTTGATAAGCAGATAAGTGCGGTGGTCAAGTCCTGTTTTTATCATCTTTGTCTTCTGACGAAGGTGAAGCCATTTTTGTCTCTAAAGAAGTTTGCAATGGTTATGCATGCTTTCGTAACATCTCGATTGGATTACTGCAACTCATTGTATATCGGTGCTCCTCAGTCATGTGTTTCTCATCTGCAGTTGCTTCAGAATGCAGCGGCCCGTCTTCTTTATGGGAAGCGCAAACATGAGTCTATCACACCAGTTTTGATTTCATTGCATTGGTTGCCAGTCAAATATAGAATTGATTTAAAAATTTTACTGTTTGTCTATAAATCTCGCTATAATCAGGCTCCACAGTACCTATCTGATTTGTTACACCCATACACTCAGTCAAGAACACTCAGATCCGCTGATTCTGGTTTATTGCAAGTTCCCAGGGCACGTCTCAAAAACAGGTGATCGTGCTTTTTCTGTTGTTGGCCCTAAGTTATGGAATAGTCTCCCAATTCATATCAGAACTGCCTCAACTTTATCTATTTTTAAGTCTACTCTTAAAACTTATTTCTTCTCCTTGGCATTTAATATTTTTTGACTTGCTGTGCAATGATCCTTTCTTTTAGTGAACCTCATCCATTTTACAGTGTGTGTTTTATAGTTTGCGTTTTATTGTTTATAAACTTGTTGACTTGTTTTGTTTTGCATAATCTGTGCAGCACTTTGGTTGACTTCGGTTGTTTTAAATGTGCTATATAAATAAACATCGTATTGTATTGTATTGTGTGTGTAAACATATATATATATATATACAGTATATATATATACACACACACAAACACGCACGCACTGTTATTCAAAAGTTTGGGGTCAGTAAGATTTTTTTTTGAAAAAAATTAATTCTTTTATTCAGCAAGGACACATTAAATTGACCAGAAGTGATATTATGACAGTAAATACATCAATTGTTAAATAAGATTCTATTTCTAATAATTTTTTTCTTTTTTCTTTTTTTACTTTCTAAAGCACCAAATCTGCATATTAGAATGATTTCTGAAGGATCATGCGACACTGAATGTTACAGTAACGGCTGCTGAAAATTCAGCTTTGCCATCACAGGAATTAATTGCATTCTCAAATATATTAAAATAGAAAACAGTTATTTATAACTGTAATAATATTTCACAAAAGTACTGCTTGTTCTGTATTTTTCAAATAAATGCAGCCTTGGTGAGCATAAGAGACTTCTGTCAAAAGTACAAAAAAATCTTACTGACCACAAAATGTTTTTTTATATATATAAATAATTATTTTCATTGTATAAACAATAAACATAAGTATTCTATTTTATGTTTGAGTAAGTGTGTTATTCATTTATATTGATTTCTGATTGACAGTTTTTGAAGAGATCCCTCTGGTGGCTGCACAGGACCTGAGTAACATCCTAAAGCAAGGCTACGTGGAGAAGAAGAGACGTGGTAGGAATCTTTAAAATCAAAGCATCAAGTCACATAAAATCCACAAGCATTTCTAATCTTTTTCTTTTTTCAGATCACAGTTTCTTCAGCATGGAATGGCAAAAGCGATGGTGTGTGCTAAACAACACCATATTTTATTACTACGGGAGTGAGAAAGGTATGTCCTGTCCTGTTTAATGAGGACATGAACATCAAAGACAGAGATATTGAGAATCTTGGATTTTGTCTTCTGAATTCAGACAAACAGCAGAAGGGCTCATTTTATATTAATGGCTACAGTGCAGAGCTGGTGCCCAGCTTACGCAAAGACTCCAAAAAGAATTCGTGCTTCGAGTTGAGCGCTCCTGGAAGACGTTCTTACCAGGTTCAACGCACACAAACACACTCACATTGCTCATTGCTGTTGCTCTATTCAGTCATCTTGCTGTCATTACAATGAAGAATGAGAATAGTCTTCAAATCAACAATGATAGTTTTTCTCTGCAGTTCACTGCCAGCAGTCCCCGTGAGGCCAGGGAATGGGTGGACCAGATCAATTTTGTTCTTAAGGGTATGTGAGATATGAAATACATTTTTATTAGAATACATAAGATATATTATATTATGCTGAATGCATCTGACTTGATCCAAGCACCATGGTGATCATCTTGAGGTGAAAAGGGCAGTTTTATAAAAAAAAAACAAAGGCATACCAATAACTTTCTTTCTGGCTCAGCCAATAAGATAGGCTCTAGACCTCCTCATGCAGCGCGTCACTGAGCTTCTGAGTCCAACGTGCTTCAGGCTGCCTCCTCTTCCCCGTAGC